CTCAGGTGCAAGGAGATGAGACCGCTTGCATGGTTGTGGGAACTGTCCTGGTTTATGAACCCCACGATCTCTTGCAACAACTCCACAGAGATGGCTTCCAAGGTCCCCACAAGGATGTTGCCAGTTACAAGAGTCAACGAATTCAGGGGAGCCCAAAGCTCTGGATATTTATCAACTATTTATAGTACTACCAGACCAGATCTAATTTACCAATCTAGGGTCATTTCGACCATAAGCAATGTTGCTTAGTAACACCGTTGGTACTGCAATTTTTCTCAGGTTTCCAGGGGAACAGAGCTAGATAATTAACCCAAGGTCAAATTCTCATGCAGAAGGGCGCAGGGTTCGGTAAGCCTCTGCCTACACTGGGCCTCCCAGTGGTTTTCTTTCTGCTTGAAGCAGTCACAGGAGGTTCAACTGTTACGATTAAGCGTTCCTACCAGGAGTGCCGCTTGTAACAAGGACACCTCTGACCACGTGCACTCTGATATACATTCCTTAGTGGGAAAGAACGAGGAAGTTATAATAGCATGCTGGAAATTTTGCACAACTCTGGGTATGTCCATTGGAGTATGTTAAAATTTGACTATCGCTTGTCACATGCGCCACGGATGAGAAAGCATGAAGAACGGACATGTTGGGGTGATCTTTTGGCAGGGCGAGTGTCTTGGAAGATGTCTTTGGGTACCATTAACTTCGAATGTCTGTTATGTCTGCATTATTAACTCTATTTCCTCAAGTGTGAATGCTCCCATTTGTTAAGACGGTTTTGCTTCTCCCGTTAGTTTTCCTCCCTCGGTTGGTGATGGGTGATTGTGCACTCACGTGTTTGGCTCAGATACCCTTGGTAGACGGTCTGCCACATCTGTCTGGACAGCTCTGCTTGCAAAAAGGGCCTAGAGCAGCCACTGCCCAGGTATAAATTCTGGCTTGTTTTCAGCGAGATTGAGGGAGGGAGAACCACCTGGCTGTCCAGTCTTCTGGGTGACGCCCACTCTGTTCCTCCCCGGCATTACCAGCTACCTCAGACAACAAAATGCTCCAATTTATCCTACTATGTTTTCATGTCGTGGCAACACATTACTGAACTCATCCTGGGCCAAACACGTTTAGGAATCACTGATATTTCCAGTAACGATCCAGGGGAGGAAAATCTTGTCACAGACTGACTTATGATGATTCTATTTAAAAACAGCAGCCTCGCATGGCCGCCACCATCAAAATTAAGGTGTTGACCTTTATTGTTACTATTTGGAAAATAAATATTGCCTAATCACAATCTTACAAAATTTATCTGAGGTGTCTTTTTTTTTTTTAAATAAAAACATCTGAGGTACCGGAAAGATTTCAGAAGCTCAAAAAAATAGTAGCTAAAGTTCTGGAAAAACTTAAACTACAGAAATTTCACACTGGCACCGAGCTTCTTCAAAAATCCCACAGTGAAAAATGAAACTGTCCAAAGCAAACGCAGCGACTCGAAAGCTGTGTCCACATGAAAGAGTGACACGGTGCACGGAGGCCTGGAGCTAAACGCTCCAGCCGGGAAAGGCTCTTCTGACAAGTAGAGACGGTTGGAAGTACAAACCAATCGATATTTCAGTCAACAAGTACTTCCCAGGCTTTTTGCTGGGCACGGACCAAAGCAAAGAATATTTAGCCCCTGTTCCTGAAGAGATTATAGTCTAGTGGAAAACCATAGAAACACCACGGCCCAACTTGACTGCTGGAATAGAGAGAAAGAGGCAAGGAAATGTCGTTTGATTTGGGGTGGGGGAAGGAGATGGAAAGAGAGAGAGAAACAGCCCCAAATTAGAGTCCTCCCTCCCACTGGAAATTTCTTGTTTGGCGGTTGTGGTTTGGAGTTGGTTGTAAACATGTGACTGAACACAGTTAGAGGCTCCCTCTCCTCTGAAGGCCTTCCATGAGTGATTTCAGATGCTAAGCTCCAATGCCTACTCTATCACAGAACAGGAAGAAATGGCCGTTAGTCTAGAAGGAATCACACACAGGCTCCTGTAGGGACAACGATAACAGAATTCTAGAGCGAAAAAAAAATGTATACTAGTGTATAATATCAGCTACTTTTTGAGGGGTGGGGAGGAGGGGAGGTCCCCTTGTGCCGGGCACGGCCCTGGATGTCTTAGCTGTAACATCTAATTCACTGTTTACACCAGTCCCACGAGGCTGGTCTTGTTCTTTCCAGTTGAGGAATAGAGGTTCAAAGAGGTGCGATGACTTGTCTAAGGCGCTGGAAGAAGCAGAGTGGGGGTCCAGATCCACTCGTTGATCTGACTCCCAAATCCATTCTCTTTCCAGAAACCCAAAGTGAGCAGAACTCAAAAAATGACAAGTTCTACTTTGCGTTTTGTGTTGTCCCCTGAAAATCCAACCAAAAAGGAACGGAAAGACCAAGATAATTGACTCCAACAAATTCTGAGACATGCTCTCTTTGCTCTCTCTTGCAGCTCGTGCCTCTTTAAAACTTGCCCCAGAGAGTCTGGAGTCCTTAGACGGTCTACCTAGGCTTATAGACACTCCAGCTACACTCCGAATCCTGAAACAGATTCCAGAAGGGAAGATGGACACTGCATAACAGGAAATGTGGCGGAAGCCCGGGCAGGGAGCGTGTCACGTGATGAGATTTGTATTTTAGAAGTTTCAGTCTAGTGGCCCTGAGGATGGGGCTGGTCTGAGGATGTTAATCCTCACATCCAGGGAGACCATTTACAAATCAAATGCAGTAACAGAAGTAAGAGGGAACAAGGTCCTGGACCACGCAGTAGCAGCAGTCCGGGGAGGCAGGAATAGAGAAATGAGAGCTGTCACTGATGGAGCATCAACAAGACCTACTGACCAGTTGGCCATAGGAAGAAGCGTGGGGTGAGTCCCAGTTTTCTGACTGGGGGTGACAGGGTGATGCCATTTTTAGAGACTAGGGACAAAGGAGGAACAGTGGGTTTTGGGGGAAAGATGATGGCTTTAGTTTTAGGGAGGTTGTGAGCACTCCAGATGGAAATGTTCCCTAGTCAGGTAGATCAATGGATTGTTCATTGTGCAAATTTTTGTTGACTTCTCCATTATGCAGATGTTGAGCTTGGCATTAGGTGTGGAGGGACCATCAAAATGACCAAAACAGATGTGTTCTCTGCCCTCATGAAACTTACAGGCAATAAACAAACAGAAGAATTGCTCTGAGAAGGAGCTGCAGCCTGAGAGCATGAGACTTGACAGCGGAACCCGGAAGGCTGAGTGGGAAGAGAAGGTTCTGGAGCCCAGAGGAGGCGCTGTCTGACTGGAGATGGAGGAAGGGTCATCTGTATAGAGTCGGGAACTGAAGACGATGTGAGGGAGGAGAGTCAGAGAAACTGCACTATCGTGCAGGCTGTCGGGGTCAGAGGCTGAAGAGTGGGACGCCCCACCAGCCAAGGCCGATGGTCTCCATTCTCTCAACCCTCAGGAGTCACACTCACAGAAAGCACAGTCTTGGAGCGACTGATGGAGGTTATTTTTTGACCAGGGACCATGGGCATTTTGCCACTTCTCCATTTGGGGCATGTCTGGCACATGAACATATGCACAGGGTACCCACTCATTTGGCCGGGATAGCAGGAGACCTGAGTAATCCGCTGATTAAGCTAACTCCAGACTGGATTAAAATATTGATGCCAATTTGGGATTCTTAAAAAAAAAAAAAAAGCAACTTGTGTCTAGCCCATGCTCCATCCTCTTCCCTTAACTGGAAGCCAGGAGACGTGGGTTAGGAGCCCAATTACGCCCCAATCCATCCCAGCAGAAACAACAGCCAATGAACATTTCAAAACCACTTGGAACCATTGAACAGAGTCAGGAAAACCACACTGAGCCCCAGCTGGGAGCTGTTCGCTACATGCAGACAATATCTACAACAGCAAGAATAAACGCGAACATTTATCCAGCACTTACTATGTGCTGGGTGCTGGTCAATTCATTTAATCCTTAAACAGCTCTACAAAGGAATTAGTCTTACTAGTGCTATTTTGCAGCTGAAGAAACTGAGGCACAGAGAGGTTAAGGTACTTTCCCAAGGCCCCCCAGCTCCTAACTGGAAGAGCCTGGATTTGATCCCTGAAGCCTGGATCCCAGAGCCTCCTCTTTTAAGCACTCTTTTGATAAACAGGGGTCACTACTACAGGAGTTAGGGTAACCAGGCCTGTGGAGGAGGGGCCTGATTTGTGACACTGTGGGGAGATGAGCTCTGTGTGCAGCCTTCTCTCCCAATCGTGGCTTCTGACGCCCTGCCTCTGAGAGGGTGAAACCACCCTCAGAGAATCCTGGGGTCTCCCGGAGAGAAGAGGACCTGAGAACCGCTTAATTCGGCCACTGGTCTACAGGTGGGGAGACTGAGGCATGCGGAAGTGGAGGGACAGAGCCAGGGAGCAGGAGAAGCCAGGGCAGAGGGAGGCTCCTCTCCCAAGGAGCCCTCCCTTTCTTCTCTCCCGTTCCCTCCTTTCCTGTGAGGGTTCTGCTTCATAGAACAGCTATGCTGTCCCCCCCAGGGCAAGCCCAGTGGTCTCCCGCCCACCTGAGAGGCCCACTTCTGGCTGAGCAGGTGTTTACGTTCCCCCGGGGGGGTCCCAAGGCAGCCAAGAGAGGAAAGGAAGTAAGACGCCTCCCACCAAGGAGTTGGCCCCCCCAGAGCCACCGTCACAAGGTGCCACCGTGCACTGCAGAGGCCCCGGGCCCTCTGGAGTCTGCAGACGCACTCTTCTCTGAGGCCATTTTCATCCCAAGCTGGACCAGCACTATGCAAACCCATTTCAGAGATGCCCCCAGCTCTCAGATACCCGCTCAGGGCACAAGGCTCCCATCCAGACCCATCCAGAGGGCTTCTGGGATCCGGGCCGTTCTGACACCCAGTATCCTTCCCCTCCCCCACCCCCATACTCCCTGGAGGCAGTACCACCCCCTACAAGGTGGTGTCGGCCAGAGGGGAGCTCCTCCAAGGCCAAGGCGGGTCTTACCTTTCCACCTGGAGGTTGACTTTGGAAGGCTCCACGTTGGGATTTTCCCACTCCATTTGCGGGCAGTGCATGAAATAGCAGAGGGTGTACAGGGCCTCGGGCTCCCAGTAGAGCGCCCCCTGCTTGTGGTGCAGGGGGGTGCCGTTGCCGTGGTGCTTGGCATTGAGGGGCTGCAAGTGATGCATTGCTCGGGACACCAGGTCACCTGTGGACAGAAGTAAGATTTCAGATCCTTCAGGCAGCCACGACCAGCAGAGAAGATGTGCCTGGGATCTCTGCAGAGATCCTGACCCGTGGGTTCTCTCCTTCACCGGGAGTGGTCCCCTGGGACCTCCAGGTCACACATCAAGCAGAGGGGACAGCATTCCTTCATGCATGACACGACAGTCAAGGGTTTACCAGGTTCGGGGGGCTGCTTCAAGCACAGAGGCTGCTACGATTGTCCAGTCCTGCCCTTCTGGAACCCACTGTTTCTCACAAAGCCCAGGAAGCCCTTTGTGTGCATCTGCTTCCATGTCCATCACCCCGGGACACACCCTCTGCCATAGCCTCTGCTGTAGCCACCCCGGCCCCCTGCAGTCACAAGAAGGACTCCACTGTCTCCTGCCTCTCAGCCTGTGCATACCCTATTCCCTTTATCCAGAACATTCTCTCTCCTCTTCTCTAGGCTAACTCCTCCTCACCATCCAGGTATCGGCTTCTATATTAATCTCTCCAGGAAACCATCCTGGAATCTCCCCACTCCCCTGTGTCTGTTATCGCAGCATCTAGGGCGCTGTGCTAGAATATTCTTTTTCTCTGTCAATCTTTTCCAACAACAGCAACCCAGTCTTAAATGACACTCCTTATGTGCCAGCACAGTTCTCAGCACTTTAATTCATCTAATCCTCACAACCCCCTATGAAGTAGGTACCTTTACAAATCCATTTTGCAGATGAGGAAACAGAGGCCCAAAGAGTTGTATAACTTCTCAAACTTCTGTAGCCAGGAGCGGCAGAGCCAGGATTTGAAGCTAGTCTGGCTCCAGAATCCATGCACTTAACCATGCCCCAGCGGGCTCTGTCTCACTCTTCTCAGCACTAGCAAACCCTGGGAACATTCTGGTCTTTCTCCTGACTTCTCAGAAGGAAACTAGCCTTCTCCTTGATCAAACCAAACCTGCATGCTCCCTGGTTGGCTACACAGGGAGGATGTTCTTGTGGGGAGAGTGGCTGGGCCTGGAAGCTAAAATGGTGTTCCCCAAACTTGGGTCGTTTGTATGTCAGCTTCATGAGTACAGCTGTATGCAAGCACCATGTGTGCCATTATTTACCTAATTTTAAATGGACTTATTTTGTTTCTTAAAATACATATATTTAAAAAGGAAACGTTATGTCACTACCATAAATGGAAAATTAGTATCACCTGCCATAAAAAGAAGGTCGTTGTACAAGTTAATTCCATGAAAAAAAACAGTGTAATTAATTTATAGCTGAATTCTGGTCCCGCTTTCTTTTGTTATAAATAAGAAGTGTTAGAGAGGTGTTAGGGCTCATTCTAAATGGAGCCTTTCTTCTTAAAGCAGTCAGAATTAAAACAGAATTTAAAAGAATCACTCTGTGACCAATGTCATTTCATGCACCGTCCCAGTCTCATTTGCACATTGGAATGCATTGCACACTATGGGAGACAATTGCCTAAAATATCTGGGATGGTTAATTTTATGTGTCAACTGGGGTAGGCCATGGTGCCCAGTTGTTTGGTCAAATGCTAGTCTAGATGTTGCTATGAAGGTATTTTTTCTATGTGGTTAATATCTAAATCAGTCGATTTTGAGTAAAGCAGATTACTCTGCGTACTGTGGGTGGGCCTCATCCAATCACTTGAAGGCCCTAAGAGAAAAGACAGAAGATCTCAAAGAGGATGGAATTCTGCCTTCAGACTCAAGGCTGAAACATCAACTCTTGCTGGGATTTACACTCCCCCCTCCCCCATTCCCAACCCCTCATTGCCCAGTTGACCCCAGGCCTGTGGAGCCCACCAGTTCTCTGTCATCCAGGTGAATCTTTTAACCTGACGCTTTTACCTAAAATCCAAACCCAAGAAAGTGAGGCTCAGTGAGAGGCAGGAGTTGCTCCTCTGAAGGCCCAAGGCCTGCCTTCTAGGTGCCCACTTCCTGTCTGCAGGAGGGACCATTTCCTCAAAAGAAGATTGACAAAAGGACAATTGACCCCCTTTGTGGGGAGTCTACAAGGTGAGGTCTCAGCTGAGGGCAGAATGGCAAATACTCCCCTTTCCATTCCGTGTCCATGGCAGACATGGTTAATCAAGCACAGAGCTCTTATCCACTGACTGTAGATGCATCCTTAAAACCCTTCTCGAGACAAGATTCTAAGCAGCTACTATTTCTGATGGGGGTTGTCCGAGGAAAGGAAACGTCTGTGTTGTCAGAGTCCTAAGGCTTTGTCAGGACAACCCAGCCAGAGTACAATCCACTAAGCTTGAGATCTGGACGGCAGATGCAGTTGCTCCCCTCGCCCCTCTGCATCTTACCAGGCCCAGCCCAGAGCCTGACCCTCCTCTCTCCACGTCCCACAGCAGGGAAACACATCCAAGAAACTCAAAAAGGAATCAGAGAAGGAAATTCTCTTTTAGAGGCAGGTGTGGGTAGGGAAGACCCCCAGGGGCCCTGCAGATGGACAATGCAGAGAACCAGTGCCCCACGTTAGGTAGGAGCCAGGGGACGGAGTCCAGATCCCAGCTCTGCCACCCATCTGCGTAAACACGAGCAAGTCCCCTAACCTCGCGGGCGAGGAAATAATACTCCCCGATCAGGTGGCTGTGAAGGCCAAGTGCAAGATGAGGACGTGCTGGCACACGGTTGGCATGCACAAGCAGCTCTTTGGCTCAGGGCCTGCTGCTCTCCCTCTTTTCTGGACAGTGGGACCTGGGACGTGGAGGCCAGGCCTGCCGGTGCCCTGACCCAGGCTGGGGTCGACTTTTTTAGGAACTGACGTTGCAAAGCTGCTCATTCCAGGCATCCTGTTGGGGTGTGTTTAGGTCCTTTAGCTGGTGCTTCTTCCCTTCTCTCTCTACTCTCTCACCTTTTAGGGACCTCACTCCCTGGGAGGGGGAAAAAAGGGAGCCGAGTATCTGCCCCTAACCAGTCCCCTCAATCTAGTGGAGGAAGGGGCAGCTCCAACCGTTGGTCCAACAGGAGAGCCCACTCGGCGAACGCTGAGAAGGAACCTAGAAGACACCAGGATGGCAGCTCTGGGTGGGATTGGGCACAATGACACTGTTTTGAATTTCCTGATGAGGATGGTGACCTCGAGGGGAGGGAAGGAGGAGGGAGACAGCGGAGGTGGGAACCACAAGATACTGAAGAGGCGGGAACCACAAGATGCTGAGCGGCTGCCCCGTCCAAGGCCATTTGGATACAGTTTCTGGTTTACTGTGGAAAAGAGCCATATGGGATGGGTATTGTTACACCCACTTCAGAGATGGGAAAATCGAGGGAAGAGGCAGTTTGGCCAGGCGTGACTCGGGAAGTGGCAGGCTGTGACTCCAAGCTGGGTTCCGGGGCTCCTGTTCTTGGTCACTACACCACAGTGCCTCCAAAACAGCACTAATCTAGACGCCACCTCTGGGTGTGGCCTTTGAAAAACTCTGATGAAGAGTCTGAGGCCTGAATCCTCAAAGTATGTGCCATCGTGGATTCCAGCGGGGGGCGACCTGGTGGGTTGGGAGTTCAGGAGATTGCTCAGCCCCTGCTGCTGGAGCCGAGCTTCCAGCTCAGGGTTCCCAGAGCCCGACCTGTCTGGAGGAGCAGGGGCATGGCGGGGGGTCGGTGGGGGACAATGGTCACTCTGTGTAAGTGACCACACGGACTCTTAAACTCTTCCAAGGGAAGAGGGCCTGCAGGGGCAGGAGGGTAACTGATGATGACGTCGGCCGGGGAGCTGGCCCTGGAATGCACAGAGGCCTAGGCTCTCAGATCAGACCTCCTACCCGGCCCGCGGCGGAGCTGAAAGAGCTTCTCCCCGGAAGCCGTGAAAAGGGGCAGGAGTCGGGGCAGCTCGGCTTTGCGGCCCCAGGATGATGCTACGGTGGATCACGGCAGACACACATTAGCACTTCCTGTGTGCAGGACAACCCATTACACTCCTGAAGTCCCACACCACCCAGTGAGGTAGGTCCTGATACCATGTCCATTTTACAAAGGAGGAAACTGAGGCACAGGGAGATAATTTGGCTGAAATCACATTGCCATTGAGTGCAAGCACTGGGCTTCAAACTGCCGCCATTTGGGTCTAGAGTGTTCGCTCTTAGTCCCCAACCATGCTGCCCCCACGAGGGTAGAAGAGAGAGAGTCCTCATTCACCGGTGGCAGCACGAACACGTTAAGAGGCCCAGAGATCACTGCTGGCTTGAGCACGCCCAGGGTCTTGGCAGAATAGCTCAGCAGATCTTTAACTGGCATCTGTCAGTAACAGCATCCTTGGTGGGCACAGTGGGGAGGAGCCCCCAGGCTGTGCAAGGCAGGGCCAATGGCCAACAGCTTTGGAAAGAACTGGAAACTTTCCAGTACTGTCCTTGGCTATGATGTCAGGGTCTTCAAAGGCGTCCCCGGCCACAGGCAAGGGTAAGCTCTGAGGTTTCATGAAGGCTCACAGGAGGCCAAGGCGTCAGGGTGAGCCACAGCAGGGCAGGAAGAAGGGGTGGCACACGTGACATGCCACCGGGGGAATCTCAAAACCTACCACATGAACTTTTTGGAGGGGCTGGATTTCCAGTGAGTTTGCACCGAAGGGGCAGGGTCTGAGAAACACTGCTGGTGGGTCTACCTCGCTCCGAGGGAGGCACAGCCGGAAGGATTTGGGCTCCCCGATAACTCAGCCATCTCAACACTCACCACCCTCCAGGAGGAAGGCTGTGCTGCAGACAGCATGGGTGAGCGGAGGGCAGGAAACAGAGAAAGGCTTCCCTCTGGAAGACCGGGCAGCGATTCCGTTTCTAAAGAGCAGGCTGCACTGTGACCGCTGGAAGGAGAGCACAGGGGTGCTGCTGGATCCTTGGCCAAAGAATCAGAGACCCAGGGACCCCGAGAGCTGGGAGTGGCCTCCGAGCTGATGTGGGCTGTCCTCCCAGCAGTCCTCTTGGTAGCATCCAGCTACAACAACAGTGCTAACAGCTGCCATTCACAGAGCTCCTGACGCTCTATTA